TATGAAAAAAGTTTATAATTTTTTGCTAGTTGCATGGTGGTACAAAGCAAGGACACCAAAAAACTAACAATTTTTGTAAAGTGAATCTACTGAAAATCATAAACTAGTACATGCAACAATACTTCCGATTGACAAGCTGTAATATAATTCGGTAATCACCACGAAAATACTATTTTTACACAAAATTAAAACCAAAACAGTGCCACTAATCTGAAAGTTTTACGCGCGAAACAAAAGCGCGGCTAACTTGATTTTTTTCTGCGAGGGCGCGGCGACACCTATAATATGATATGCACACTCACAACAGGGATCTATAACCGCTGTGGTACGATAGTAGCACCATTATACAACGCAGTAAAAAATAATAACCAAGTGGTACGATGCGTGTATCACCATACCCAAAAGACCCACAATTAGGTGGTACATCGGGCAACCATCAAGCTGGAAAGAGTTAACGTATTAGGTAAACTAACCTTTCTCAATATTCTTTCGAGCCGAACTCAACTTATTACATTCGAGCCGAGCATCGAGCCCGCCTGTGTCTTTTTCGAGTCGAGTCGAGTTGCTTGTTTGAAGCTCGACTGAATGTATTTATAATGGATGTATTAATTTTGCTGTGTGTCAATTTGATATGTTTACCGTCTAAAATGTGATATCATCTACACTTATGTTTTTTAAATGGTGCGATGCAGACTCGGCGGCTGATAGTATTCTAGCAGCTTCATTCATTGCTCAATGCTTCATTGTATAGGTAATGTTACCTATATAAATATACATTCGTTAATGCTTACAGATGAAATTGTAGCGGGTTTTTATTAAGATTTTATTTCTTGGGACATCCTTGAGGCTGGTAAACAAATACAACCGTTGTATTGCATGTCGCTCCTTTATTGCAACTGTAGGTAACTTGTAGACGTGTTTCTTTAGTCTGTTTGTCACATTTTCGACGCATAGTGTTTCCTTTTCAGTTCGAATTTGTCTGCGTTAGATTAGAGGGTTATTCTGTTTATCGTCTTAATTTTTCGATTCTTGCAAAAATCATTAAAAATGAGCGACTTTGATAGTGATCTGATGATAGTGTGAGAGATGCGGACTATGTACCTACAGAATCTTTAAGTGAACCAATGAGCGATTGTGAAATTAGTATCAGCGTAACCGAAGAAGTTCCTGGTCCGTCTAATCTAACACTTCTAGTGCACAATCGAGTCATAGTCGAAGTATTAAGTTTTCAATTTACTTTGACTTTCAAGTTATTTGACATAACATGAAATTATCAATATGCAAGTTATGTAAAGAAATTTTAAAAAAAAGCGGTAGTTAAAGTAAAAACCTCTAGTACAACTAGCTTAAAGCGGCATTTACAAAAACAACATAGACATGAATTTCAAAGAATATTCCCTAATAGTGCACCCACTCCTAAACAAATACCTCTAGTTTCATCGGCAAGTCTTTGCAGTTTCTGCGCCCGCTCAAGGGCGTCATTCTTTTGCTCTAGTTCTCCCCTAGAAAGAGTACCACCACCATCCACTTTTTCCAATCTCAAAGTTTTTTAACAAAAGAAGGTGTAGATCAAGGCACCATTGTTGATTGGGTTGCGAAAAAATACCTTCCATTGAATCTTTGACGATGACGCCACAAGATTGTTTTTTTCTCAAATTTCGCTTGGCTGGACACCACCACGACGCAAAGTCCTTAAAAAAATGATTTTGGATCGTTTCTTTGATCTGAAGCGAAAGGTATTAACGATTTTAAAACAAAAAAGTCGAACATTTCTTTCACCATAGATGGATGGACGGCGATAAATGGTCAATCGTATTATGGCACCACAGGACATTATATCGACCAAAATTGGGAACTTCAGTCCATAGTCATCGATTTCGTTCCGTCTCGTGGAAAACATGCCGGGAAAGATATAGCAAAATTGTTTTTCGATACAGTAAAAGAATATGGAATTAATTCAAAAATTCGAGGAGTAACTGTTGATAACGCGGCAGCGAATACTACTTTTATGAGTGAGCTAAAAAATCTACTTCCCAGCTTTGACAGCATAAATCAGCACTTTCGATGCATGGCCCACGTTCTTAACCTTGCTGTCCAGGATATTCTTCGCTCACTTAGTTTTAATGTTGCTGAAGGAGAAGAACAAATTGAAAGTGACGCCGACGTAGTTTTTAACCTTCAAATGTAAATCCTAATGTTTGGAATTCGAGCTTAGCTCGGCTCTGCTCGAAACTCGGCTCGAAAACCAGCCGGGTTTCGAGTGGAGCTGAAGTAATTTTTTCGAGCCGAGTTTCGGGCCGAGCTGGACACCCATGATTTCGAGCCGAGTCGAGTTTTCAAAAAGCTCGGCTCGAATCCATCCCTAATCTAAATGTAGCATCGTCTGTAATTTCAATGCTAATTCTCATATTAAGCAGCCGAGATCTGTTAATTGCCCAATGGGGTTAAAAATTAAATAATGATAATCTTTGTTCATCAATGAGTTATTACAATGTTCTTAATATTTGTATAGGTGGTTTTCCGCTTGGCCCTTCGTTGGCCGTGTGTTTTTGTATCAACTATGTTATTGTCCGTTTAAATCGATCCTCTTCACCATGGTCCGTTAACACAATTTAATTTAAATAATTTAATTTTACTTATAATATTTCAATGTAACCTCAAAACTTCAATATGTAACGTCAAGACTTCAACAACTTTTCAATAATATAATTTTCTCACGCACCGTACTTAGAATTTGTTACCTGAAGATGATTAACAATCGAAACATGTAACATTTCGCAATTATATCTGTTCGTCAATAATTAAAATATCCATGGGGAAGGTTTTGAGGAATTGAGTCGTTTATTTCCTGTATCTTATTTATAACCGGAAATCCAAAATGAATTTATCCACCTGCTTGCATCGACTGTAAGGAATCAGCTCTTGAGTGAAATCAGCAAAAACAAATACTACGGTATTTTACTTGACTCAACACCTGATCTAGGGCACCGCGAAGAGCTTTCTCAAGTAATCAGATTTGTGGATGTGGACTTTCAAACTAAAACAGTAACCATCAAAGAATCATTTCTAGGTTTTGTTCAGATACATTCCAAAGACGCAGCAAACCTTGAAAGAGTTATCGTAGAGAAACTGGAATCTGATAACATACCTCTAGCCGACTGTCGGTCACAGTGTTATGACAATGCTGCTGTAATGACTGGACATATATCCGGCCTTCAACAACGAATATCTGCAAGAAATCACAGAGCATTGTTCGTCAACTGTAACAACCACAGCTTAAACTTAGCAAGAGTACACTCAGCTAAACAGGATCCAGTTGTTATCACGTTTTTTGGAACGGGTGAAAATATATATTTGTTTTTCTCTCGTTCAGTAACTCGTTGGGAAGAATTAAAAAGAGTTCTGCCAATCACAGTGAAGAGGGAGTGCACGATCAGAAGCTGTTAAAGCTATTTATGAAGGACTAGATGACCTAGTAGGGCTGTTGGAAAAATTATCAGAAGATGCAATGACGACTGACACCAGAAGTGATGCCGAAACTTTGCTGGCAGGTATATTAAACTTTAATTTCCTAGTTTTGTTATATTTCTGGAACATGAATTTCAAGGAAGCATCATCTGATCTTGAATCGCTGGAGCAAGAACTTGTCAACGTTCGTGATAATTTGAGCAAGGTTGCGGTGGACAATGGAAAAACAAGATGCACAACTTGGGGAATCGAGGTTGACAGAAGGATTAGAGGAGTTCGGAGGATGCCTGGAGAATTAGCAAGAGATGCAGGACTTTCTGCAGAAGAAGAAATTCAACGTGTTATTATTAGTCTGTATTCTATTTCATTACAATATCAGATGCTTCGGAAATGAACCATATAAACCGTAAAATTTCAAAATTTTCTTAGGGGCTCATCTGAGAAGGGGCGCAGATGACTCTAGCTACGCACTGTGCATATTGATCTCATTATGGTTCATTCCAGATCACGTGTTACTTAAAACAAAATATGGCTGCCGATTGGCACACATTAGAATATTTCCTATGCATTTTAAACGTTAATTGAGAAGTATACATTTATTTGTGAAGTTTAAATGTATTTTGATGGTGTAAATCAAAGAATACATTATTAGTTATTTGCTTTAATATGTAAAAAAGGAACCACAATTGTTTATTGTTTCTAAAGCGATCGATTTCGGGTTTAACCACCCATCATCAGGCTATGCTAAAAGTATATCATATGAATTTGATGAACACAGAATTAAAATTATTACCGTCAATTAAATTATATAATGCAGGGACATTGAGTTGAATAATAGTTATTTATGTATTAAGGGCATAATAGTGATGTTTATATTCTCGAGGGCGACGAGTTAAAAAGCTCGAGGGCCTATAGCCCGAGAGCTTTTTAGTCGCCCGAGAGTATAAACATCAGTTTATGCCCGTGGTACATACACAATTTTATGTTTTACAAATAGTTTTCTTCGTCAAAATTCGTTTACAAAATAATTCATTATGTTTGATCGAGTATGCGTGGTTCAAATTTGTTAATGTGATTGAAACCATCCAAACGTCAAACGTAATTTTAAATAATTCAATTCATTGTGAATGAGGAGGAAGTTCCAGAAACTGTTATAAGGCCAATCTTGTGACTTAGTAGGTATTGACAATTAATAATTGACGTTTCTAATTTTCAATGACCTGTAAATATTTGTTTGTTTTGTCATTAAGTATAAATGAGTTACTATGGTGATACTGAATGCCCTAGGGCATAAAGTGGTACTTTATGCCCGCGTATCACAGATATAAAATGTGCTATGATAGGTTAGTAAGACATAAAAAGTATTAAAATTACATAAACGAAGACAATACTTTAATACTTTTTATTCAACTCAATGTCGCTGCATTATATAATTTAATTGACGGTAATAATTTTAATTCTGTGTTCATCAAATTCATGTGATATACTTTTAGCATAGCCTGATGATGGGTGGTTAAACCCGAAATCGATCGCTTTAGAAACAAAAAACAATTGTGGTTCCTTTTTTACATATTAAAGCAAATCTCAACGAACCCCAAAAATGGAGAATTACATTACAAACATTATTAGTTACTCTTTGATGTAAACATTAATTACATCTGAATTAAACAAGGTAAGTTTCGGAAAGTTGTAATGTGAAGGAATAACATTTTGCCTTAGGTACCTACACCACAGTATTCAGTTGATGCTTTCTAATCATAATCAAAGAAGATTAGGTAGTTTGGTTGTTATAATGTAATGGCACAATAATTATCATATATCGCTTTTTAGGTTAACCTCCTTCCTCGAGTACGCGCCTACTATAATAATGTCGAACCGAAGTGAATATTTCAAAAAACTGGAAATTGAAAGTTCGGATGTAGCTGTGCGGTATGAGGAAAAAATAAAATTAATTGACGGAGTAAATCTATTTGCAATAAATAATTGTGACCTGGATTACGGTATCGAAAAACTGCCACCAATCAGCAGTATAGATATTGTGGCATATTTGGTGCTAACTCACAGCTTTTATACGAAGGACCAAATGAAAGCTTATAAAAGCTTGCTAGCGTTTAGGTACTTTGGATCTGGGTTTGTGGAGAAAGTTGGCTGCATGTACGTGAAGTGTTTTGTAGTCATGGTTGGGAAAGTAAGTGGTGTTGATGTTTTCATAAAAAATAACACTTTTGTTTGTCAGGTTAGGCATTCTCAAAAAATGAATGAAAAGTCGTTGAGCACATGGGTGATTGCCCAAGAAGATGGTAGCATCTGTACAGCTCACTGCACATGTATGGCCGGAAACAGCGAAGTGTGCAGTCATGTAGGGGCATTGCTTTTTGCAGCAGGATATGCATCCAAAATTAAAGCAAGTACTTTGTGCACAGATGTTAAAGCAGCTTGGCCGGTACCCTTAGCAACAAAGTACCAATAGTACCAGTTGTGAAAATGTCCTGGAGAAAGATAAATCAACTTCCGGAACCTCCAGTAATACCATCTGTAACACCACATGAAATTTTACAGGATCTACATGATAGTAATTGTGAAGCATCATTAATGAGAATTGTGGAACCATTTGCTAGTTTTATAGCTGAAAGCACAAACTGTGATGTTATTACCTCGATATTTGAGATTTACGATGCAAAGTATGAAAAGTTGCCATATTCAGCACTAGTGTATATAGGGGACAACTTAAATTTTACGATAACTGCAGATGTATGTGAGAAAATACAGAATGCTACAAAAACCCAAAGTGATTGTATGCAATGGTATATTCAAAGGGCTGGCAGAATCACAGCATCCAATTTTAAACGCTGCTGTCGAACAAAGCCGTCCTTGTCCTTAATTAAAAGTGTTTGTTACCCCACCAAAGTTTTGTTTTTTGCAAAAGGGATTAAATGGGGTATTGAGCATGAGGGTGTTTCGAGAGAAGCATATATTAAAGCTCAGAGCCCACAACATTTAAATGTAAAAGTGGAAGCTGTGGGATTTGTAGTTAATCATCAACACCCGCAGATAGGGGCTTCTCCTGACGGTCTTGTTTATTGCGACTGTTGTACTGGAGGATGTGTAGAAATCAAATGTCCATATACATTATTCACACAAAATCTGACAATTAAAGAATTTTCTGCACAAAAAAACACATGCTTAGTATGGAACAATGGATGCATTAACCTTGACCAAAATCATGCATATTTTTATCAAGTACAAATGCAGTTGTTTGTTACAGAATGTGTGTATTGTGACTTCGTAGTTTGGTCACCGAAAGAAATGTTTGTAGAACGGATTTATCCTGATATGGATTTTATTTTTTTTTTTAATTTGACATCGGGCTTTAACAGCTAGGTCATATCGTCCATTACATATATATGTTAGATTTTAAATACGATTAATTAATTTTGTTATGTACAGAAAATTGATAAGATTGTTGACTGTTGCATGGTCATTGTTGAGGATTTCATGGATGGAGTTGTTTAATCTACATGTTATTCTTTCCTGTTGAAATGTTTGGCACTCAAGTAAAAGATGTTCTACAGTTAATAAGTCGTTGCACTGTTCACACTGTGGCGGGGGTTCTTTTTTTATTAGGTAGGAGTGTGTTAACTGGGTATGACCACTACACCACTACGAAGCCTCATTACTGCAATTTCGTGCCTTCGATTTCTTGGAGCGGACTTTGAACATTGCATTGGAATTTCATAGAAGAATAGTTGTACCTGAGCTACTGGCTAAATATTTTACCGCGAAAGAAATTTCTAAAAACATGTTATATTGTCACATATGTACTTCAACCGCAGGCCAAGATGTTGTACACTGTAGCAGTGAAAATTGCGAAGTCATTTTTCATTTTAACCCGTAACTGGTGATGTGGGGTTTGTCAAACCCCACTGAAACTTGGAATTATTGCGATCCCGTTTGTGGTGGGAAGAGATGGTTGGTAGCCCATATAGCTTTCAGTTAGTTCACCGTAGCCAGTTCAATCTATCACACACGTTAGTGCAGTGGCGCTAAACTTAAATATTTAAGCGTTTAATGAGCGTGGGGTATGCGAAACCCCAGGTCACCATTTACGTTACAGTTTATTTTTATATTTTATTATTATTATTATTATTATTAAAGTAATTAATTCTTTGTTTTTGGTAGATCAGACACTTATTTAAATATTTTTGAAGAATGCCTAAGTTTGGTTTGTCCCAATTACTTTTGACAGCTTTTTGAGTAGCATTTTTTGTTATAACGCAATATTATGGAGTACATTACTATATACATTAATATACTAATGCTAATTGTGTATTTTATACCAACATTGTTAGTTTTCATGTTTTGTAATAAATATACTTTCATACGAATCTATTCTGAATGGGTTGTCTCTTCAAATTTTGTACCAAAAGCAGCATTTGTTATGGGGTCTAGCAAACCCCACCTCACCAGATGAGTGACAAAAATATCACATCACCAGTTACGGGTTAAAAGTGTTTATTACTTGAAGAAGTTCCAGATATGGTATATTGTAACGATTGTACAAAATTATTAGGCTAAACTGTAATATTTGTATTATTTTATTGTACAGAATTATTAAGCTAAACTGTAAATATTTGTTTATTTATATGTACGTGGAATTTTGAACTTTTAACACTACAAAAAAACAAAAAAAAATACAACTTTATTTTTAATGGCAATTTTATTTTACATACGTACAATTGGTGGACACAAATTTATAAGGACACAGCAAATTGTTACGATTTTATCAATAATAAGTATATCTGCCACATTGCTGATCATGGATATTGGTATTGGACCTTGCAGAATTGAGTATTTATATTTTATCACTCCTATAATCCTCTCTACATGTATGCGTACATGTGCAATTTGTCGACTATCCTCAATATCAAGAGGATGTAGTACCTTTAGTAAAAGCAGGTATAATTAATTTTGCTTGCAACATTTTTAAGTCATCGTGAATTAAAAAACCCCTGTCAGCTAAAACAATATCGTGTGGTAGAATATAGTCTAAAAAACCACTTAATTGTGTAATCTGTTTATCAGAAATGCGCCCACCACAAGCATTACTAATGTAACTTATTGTGCCTTGCGGCGTGACACCTATTAAAAATTTTATTGTCGAATGGTGTTTATAATTTGACCAGCATTGAGCGGCAGTTA